CACAAAGAAAATATGACGACCCCAAAATCCTAATCTAATTAAAGTCCCAATTCCTATTGCTCTTGTATTTTCCCCAGCATTTCAAAATTCAAAACAATTTCCCCGTGCAATGATTGCGCCGGAGCTCCCTTCCCCATTCCCAACAGAAAAAGAAAGATGCCACGTCAGCCGTTATTTCTGCGTTGTAAGGCGCATCCTGACTACCAACCGTACTTGTGTAATCCGATCATGCCCCTCCTCCCAGCCCCAAAAATGCAATCACGCAGAAATTCGTCCAAAGCACAAAGTCGTTCGTCGCAACCTGCCCCCACCTGGTTAGGTCATGTGGGGTTGACACTAGACCTAACCAGGTTACTTGAGAGTGAGATTGGGGTGGTGAGACATTTCGTAGAGACTTCGTGCGACGACTTTAGAGAGGTGACAGTGAGGCACTCGCACCTGGAATCTGATTCAAGGGAGACACTTGACGACCTTAGGGTTTCCTTCAAGTAGGGGAACTTGAGGGACAGCAGCCATTCAGCATCTACGGTTCGTAAGTTGCTACTTTGTTTTACATCATTGGAGGGGGACCTGGTGTTGGACTTGGGTGTCGTGAGATAGGACACTAGTGTAGAGGTAGTGTTGTAGGAGTCAGGAGTATCATATGAGAGGAGGGTGAGTGTTATTCATCTCGAAGCTCAGGCCACTCATGTAAGTGTTGTGCAACTACGGGATGTCCATGTATGTGTGAATGGTATTGGTTATTCTGGGTTTCTTTTCTACTCTCCTTCGTGGTCTTGATCGTGTGTTTGAATGTGTGAACTACTTACTCACCTGATGGATGGAGAACTGAAGTTATCTTGATTTGAATGTCGAATCCTTCTACAGTCTGTAGGTTCTGCTGGAAGTTTAAATTCCTTTTTCAGTACGGTAGAGGCAGAAATTGATTCCATGTGGGACTCCTCTTCGTTGGGGCTCCGTCACGACTTACATGGGACCCTTAGGGACCCAGTGGGATCGGGCCCAAGCAAGAAGGGCGTTGGACCCAATCTAATAGACATTGGTTCTTTCTCTTTCTGAAGTTTCATTCTTTTGGTTAGAACACCCGCTGCCGAGGGGATCTCGGCTTTGATGTTTCACATGCTTTGATTGCACCGTCCATGGCTTGACTCGCACCTTGTACAACACTCTACGATGTAAACATCGTTTGTATCAAAGCACCGACCAGGCAGAGCTAAAAGGGAGGGAGGAGCATGAATGCAGAGAGCACGGGGACGAGAGCAAAGCGGTGGGGCACAAGGGGAGATTAAGAAGGGAGAGAAAAAGGGGAGATCGAAGGAGAGATTAGAAGGGGAGAGAGCAAAACATGAGAGTGAGAGGGAGATGGCGACGGAATACCATAAGCGGAGGAGCATGGGAGGGAGGATAAAGATGATGGTTGTTGCTAGAACGATTTCACTTGAGATATTAGAGAAACAAGTGGACCCGTCGCGGTGCCGTCATGGCAGCAGGAGGGGAGGAGGGGAGCGGAGAAGAGAGTGGAGGAGGGAAGAGGAGGAGGAAGGAAGAGGAACGGGGCGGAGACAGACAGACACATAGAAATAGTTGCCAAAATTCACTTGAAAGTTGATGGAAGATGCAAAGTTGCAAACATGCATACGGGCAAAAAGAAGGGGGGGAAAAAAACACTTGGGGGAAAAGTAAAACAAAGGCGTGACTAGCTATTACAGCAAAGAACATACAAGGCAAAAATACAAAGGGACATGATTAACACACATTGCCCAATTGGTCCACGTGGCGGTCTGTTGTTAACTGTTTGCTTTCTTCTTTCTTTTGCATCATCGACTGTGCCTGTCTTTTGATCCTCCTCTTGGATCTTTGTTGATTCTTGCTCCATCTCGCTCTGGTGTGTCTTCCCATCGTCCTCCCTCCTCGCTCTTTCGTCCTGGAAGCTTGTACAGTTGTTCATCCTCCCATGGATGGTTGATTCCTGTTGCATCTCACTCCTGTGGCCCACTTTTGTCCACTCTTTCCCGTGGTCCTCCCTCCTCATCCTCTCTCTTTCCTTCTATAAGCATCCATGTGTGTTCATCTTCCCATGGATGGTTGATTCCTGCTGCATCTCACTCCGTCGCCCATTTGCCTCTGTCGATCTACTCTAGATCTGTGCGTCCACGTGGCGGTCTGTTGTTCGCCCTTTTTTTTTCCTCTTCTTTTCTTTGGTGCCTGAGACGCACTAGGTACATACAATACCAGGACAAAAAAGAAAAAAGGAAAAACACAAAGGGACACGCTAATCACGCATGGCCATCCATCCACGTGGCAGTCGGCTGATAGCGATATGTTCACCCTACTGTGGATCGTTGATTCCTGCTGCATCTCGCTCTGGTGCACCATTCCCCTGTCCACCCAACGTCATCCTTAGTCTTCCCTCTTTCCTCCTTAAAGCATGAGATCGTGTTCATCCTCCCGTGGATTGTCGACTCCTGCTGCATCTCACTCCCGTGGCCCATTCCTCCCCTCGCTCCACGTGGCGGTCTGCTCTTGGCTGTCTTTTCATGTCCATCCTCCTGTCAATTTTTTTGGTTTATGCCGCATCTTGCTCCCATGGGGCATTCCTCTTTATCCACCCGCTCTTTCCCATCCTCCTCCCTCCTCCCTCTTTCCTCCTGGAAGCATACAATGCCCGCCCTCCATTTTCCCAGGATCTTCGACATGTGCAAGCAACATACAGATATGGGACGACGGAGCAATCCCAAGACGAGATCCGGTGGTGGCTTTCTTTCTCGTTTCTTTTTCTACACAAAAGCATCCCGAGATGAGATCGATGCAGACTACGACATTCACAGCGATCCACGGAGATCAGGGTAGCAGGTTGTTTTTTATTTTTGGCATTTTTCGAGAAAGCATCCTGAGCAGATCGACCCAGACGACGACATTCAGAGGGATCGATGGAGATTGGGGTGTCAGGTACAGAGGGACAGATGGGGGGGGGAGGCGCGGTGGAGGGGGGAGAGAGAGAGAGAGAGAGAGAGAGGGAGAGGAGAACAACAGGGTAAGGAGACAGATAAAAAGTGGGAGGAGGTTCAGCCATCTTGCAGTTCCTCTACCGTACCAATACACCGGGCTTTTGTGTGTGTGTGTGTGTGCGTGTGTGTGTGTGTGTGTGTGTGTGTGTGTGAGAGAGAGAGAGAGAGAGAGAGAGAGAGAGAGAGAGAGAGAGAGTGTGGCCCCTTATAGGTTTGGGATTTAAAATTTTTTTCCTAAGCTCACCCCTGCCACAAGAAACATGGTCGAGCTTTTCACTCTGGGCACAGCCCCTGAGAACTGTGGAAACAAGGCAATGAAGCATTGGTTGATGACATCAGAGAAGAAATCAGGAATTGCTTGTTAGGATGTTTTTCCCCCTAGGTCTCTTTCCGAGTGAACTAGGGGAAAACAAGAAGAGATACAAGAGGCGGGAAAATCGTGGTCACGAGCAGGGCGGTACATATCCAGAGTATGAATTTCATTATCCGGCGATGGTGTCTTGGTGACAGGCCAGGCATCAGAATCATCAGCCACGCATTGAGCACCGCCTCCCCATCAAGCCCAAAAACAGGGGCCATGTTCAGAAGGGCAAGGGCGATTGAAACATGGAAAACAGAGATAACCAGACGTTTGATACCCCATGATAGCCAAATCATCACTAACAACAACAGGGAGGGCGTGGACCTGGACCATTCTTCCTGGACCATTCTTGGGGAAAAAGCCATGCACGAGGATAATATTCCGTGACACGGAGGGCTGTTGTTACCACATGAGGATCACCAACAAAGACCAAGTCTGACTCACACCTCCCCATGAAATACCCTTGGGACACTCTGGCACATCCCGAGGGTTCTCGACTGCCACCTGTTTTCAATACACGATGGTCATCACTGAACGTCCTAACAGGTTGCCGATGCAACCGTACTGATACAGCCCTTGGGTCCAGCATATGTCGGGCCGTCGTCATGGGGRATCGCTGTTGATCCAGYCGAGGATCTGGGTCTGCAGCAGACTCATTTCGCTGTTTGCTACTGGCCACGAAGCCAGCCGCAGACCTGAGACTATGAGCACCTGCCCATCTTCCTCTGGGGTGTTGAGCTTTATTACAGGAGTTTCTGGCCCCCCAGATGAAGGACACTCTTAATAGGGCTTCTCCAAGATGCAACTTCGGCACCAAACATGCTGAACCAAGGCTGCACTCGCAGCTACCTCCGAGCACTCTTGGATGATGACATCTTGGTGAAGAAACAACCGATGTCGCCCGTAAGCASACTGCTCGTCRTGGAGGACGTGTCGGGACACTTGKTCCACTGTTGTGAGAGTCATCTCGCATGCGTGCTTCGCCTGTTGATTCCTGCCCTCCTGCAGCGACTTCGACARTCTCCTCGCCCTTCATTTTGTCGCCTCCCTCGCAGTAAATGGCCTGGAATACCAAGCAACCTTTCTCCTCACACTTCTGGCAAAATGACGCAAATCTCGTGCCAACACTGTGTGGGATGTCTCTGTCTCCCTTACCCCCCAAATTGTCTAACCCTAGCTTGTCATCTCGCAAGAGCCATTCATCATTGATGGAGCGAAGATTCATCCTCTGTGGAATACCATTTCCCAGCCGCCCTCCTTCCCCTCCACCGCCATCGACAGCTCCGCCATCAGCGAGACCAGATGACTCTGTATGCAGATCTGAATTGAACTTGTTCCAAGGAGAAACATCCCTCCTATTAGAAGGCAGTAGCATTGCGTTGGGGACGAAAGCCCGGGCAGACGACCAATTCGCCGTCCATCTGTTCGTGTAATCAATGTCGTCCTCATCCAACTTCACCTCACAATCCTCTTCCTTTCCCTGCCAAACGGAATTTGGGACACAATAGCCATAATACCACGACTGCTGCCAGCCGTAATGGGAGTCATTCCCTCCCAACGCTGTCCCACCGGCCCATCCACTGTCGTTCCCACCACTATCGGATTCCAGGTAGATTTTGCATCTATTGTTGCGACTTTTGAACCTGCGCCACTGCCAAACAGACTCGCAGAAAACAGCCCCTTTCGCTTCACATCACCAGCATCCCCGCTGCCGATCGGATTACCATCGATCGCAAAAATCACATCCCCGAGGTGCAAATGCGATAGGAAAGGTGACGATTCAGGTATAGATGCTACCACCAAGCCTACGTCAGAGGTATAAAAAGGGGTAAAGAGAACCGACAGACTGGTCAGGACCACGCAACACAGTGCAGAAAGTGCAATGTTATGCCATACACCCGCCGAAAAGATGGCTAAGGAATGCACAGGAGACATATTGTCCATGTCCACTGCATCTAGTGCAACCCAGGCACCTGGAAACACCACAATTAAGAAGAAAGTCACGTGTTCGATCCGAACGCCCTCGGCGGAGGCTGCCAATGCATGACCCAATTCATGAATCGTGATTGCGAGAGTTGTAGCACACCATAGATATCCAACCTCACCCCACGGCATGTTGACCCCTGGAATGATGGGCATGATCACCCGCGAGGAAGGGCCCGTCCAGGGCCGGTGTTGCTGTATATCCGCTCTCCTCTCGAGGCCTGCATACCAGATCTTCCACTCGAGGACCGCCCGGCAAACATCCCACAGCAGGACGAAAATCACAAGCGCCATTCCCACGGTCCCAAACAGAATGCCAATGGAGTACCACAAGCGGAACCCGCACCTGTACCGAAATCCCCATTGCTGCAACCTCCTATTCAGATAAGTCGTTTCGACAGACAACCACCCAGGAAAGACTTTGACGGAGGAGCTGCCTCTGATGGCAGAATCCCGATCCTGTCGGCTTAGTCGTTTTCTCCTCCTCCGCCCGCCTCTCTTACAAACCACATGGGAAATAACAAAAATCGCTACCCAACCGCAGGAGATCACAACAGCAGCATTGGGCATCAACATCATCTTCCTCTCT